GGTCATCTCGAGGTGCTACTTGCCGATGGTACAGGTCGCTTTGAAGCCGTGTCAACTTTGACTGGACGCCGCCCACCAAGCTTGGTGGTTCATCATGTCGACGCACAAGTCGACCAACAACTTGTACATCGGCCAACTGGAAGAGCGGCTGACTCACCTCAGGATGGGCGAGCAGGAGTCGGCGACGAACTACTGCAACCGTGCTCGGTAGATTCTGGCCGACATGCGGATGGCTGGCGTCGACTTATTTGACGGCGTCCTACATCACGCACGTCGTCAAGAGACTCCCGTCGGGCTACAATCTGATGTGCCGGATGATGGCGACGCCCGGCGTGCGTGAGCCGCTCAACGAGGACACGCTGACAAGTCACATCATCAAGGATGAGGCCATGCAGGAGGCCGAGAGGCCCACGGAGCTCTTTCCGCAGGTGAACTACGTCACCCCGGCAAAGCAGGGACGTCAGCAAGGGAAGCGTGGGAAGTTAGGCGGAGGTGGTAGCGGAGGTGGGAAGTTGGCGAAGGAAGCCGACGGGATGAAGTCGGCTCGGGACAGTAGTCGTGGAAGCGGTGGACGGCGGCAGGAGTGCTGGGTCTGTGGCAACCCCGACCACCTCTCCTACGAATGTCCCGACCCCGAGGATTCCGACAACGACGACAAAAGGGGAGGCCGCGGGAGATCCGTCGGTGGTCGTCCACGTCGGGACAACAAGCCGCGCAAGGAGAAGCAGTCGACGAAGCAGTCGTCGTTGGTAAAGGGCGTTGACTCCTCCTATGGCGGCAAGGCACGAGGCGATGAAGAAGCCTCGTGCTCAATGGTCGGCATAGTGGAGCCGACGGTCTTGCTGGCGTCGGAGGCCGGCGAGGACTTCAAGGCGGTCGTAGCCGCCGTGCAGGCAAACCCATCGGTAAGGCTGACTTGTCTGGCCTCCCAGGCACATCATATCTCAGCCTATTGGGGGCTTGAGCTCTCCTCTTTCCCCTTCCTTCATCCTGAGCTGCAGAAACTTGAATACCTTCAAGGCATTGCTGTGGGGTGATGCGACTCCAGGGAGCAATCGTTGCTCGAGGTGGAAGTGTGGGTGCACAATCGCTTGCTTGATGCAGCTCCTCCCCCTCTTCCTCTGCATTGTTAGCCGCCTCTCCCCCATTCATAAGAGGAGATTGCCTTGTGATGGTGGTGCTGCTCCTTAGATCCAAAGGCAGCTCCACATACTCCAACCCGGAACTCTTCACCTCCCCAAGCCACAAGCCTGTCTTTTGCTTCATTCTCCGCCTTCCACTCATTATACATCAGGTTCTCCATCTACAATCCCTGTTCGTCAAGAACTTCCTTCTAAATGGGTCCCAAAGCAGCCATCCCTTGTTGTTTTGAGCCATGCCCAAGTGCACAGCCCATATCGCCTTGGCACCAAGCTTGTTGTGCCGAAGATGCTTAGGCATAAGTGCCATGCATATGCACCCGAACACCTGAAGCATGTCCACATTTGGCTTCCTTCCAATCCACTCCATAGAGGGCACCCATTTTTCTGCTCCCACATGAGTCAAGGCTCTGTTCTTGGCCACACAAGCATGCCGCACCGCTTATGGCCAGACTCAGTTGGGTAGCCTGGCTTCAATGAGCAACCCGCTTGCTGTCTCCGTGAGTGTCTGGTTTGCACTCTCGGCGATGTCGTTTACTGCAGAAGAGTATGGCATGGTAGGGAGTGCCTTATGCCATTCTTCTTCAGCCACATTGAGAAGCCTGCTCAAGAACTCTTCCCCTCGATCGGTGCGGATTGACTTCACAAGAAGGTCTTGTTGCCGCTCCACCATCGGCAACCAATCGGTCTTCACTGTTTCAGCCACGTTGCTCTTCTTGGACAGCACCCATATTATGCGGGTGTAGACGTCGACTATGGTGAGGAAATAATCAGCTCCAGCAACTCCAAGCTTCAAGGGGCACACCACATCCATCACCACCTCATCAAGCGGAGCCTTGGCCGTTGCCTCCGAATTAGAGAACGGGGAACCGGTGAACTTGGCTTGCATGCATGCCGGGCAGCCAAGTACCTCGGTGGGCTCCCCATTCGCCGATTCAAGCCAATCACACTCCCCCGTAGCCGAATTCGGATTAGAGAATGCCGCACTCGCAATAGTGCCCCACATTCTCTCTCCATACTCCTCCTCCGCTGCTGCCTTTGAGTTCCCCTCACCCTTTACTGCTGTTTGGCTGCTGCACCACTCTCCTTGTTATCACCCGGCTTGCTGGTCTCTCCAAGATTGGTCTTCTTTGAATCTTTCTCCTTGGCGCCAACGTTTTCGCCATCGCCGCTACCAACCGCTTCACCCTTGGTCCTGATGGTTGCTGCCACTTGCCTCTCCTTAGGCATTGGAACCACTGTGACCATAACCACGGTGGCTATCGACGACGACGTTGACGAAGCTGAACTCGACCCTCGTACAGGCCCTCGTACATATGGTAGACCCTCGTGCAGCCCTCACCCAATGACTGGGCTTGAGTTTCTTGGTACCGTGCATCATGCCAACATCGACTACCACTCACGCGCCTTCGACTGCTTTGTGTTCTGGATGAAGAAGGCTGAGCGTCAGTCGGGACTGAAGCTGAAAAGCTTCCAAACAGACGGAGGCATGGAGTATTTCTCAACCGAGTTCAAGGAACTCTTCGCCAAGAAAGGGATTGAGCACCTGGTGTCCCTGCCCTACGCGCATGAGCAGCAAGGAGTAGCCGAATGGACAAACAGGAACCTCGCCACAAGGATGAGAGCCCTCATGAAGCAGTCTGCCATCCCAACAAAGTTTTGGCCATTCGCGATGAACCATGCCGTTCGGCTGCACAACTTGCTGTCGTCCCGAAGCCTTGAGAAGAACACCTCACCATACAAGGCTTGGACGGGCAGAAAAGGTGACACGCGTCTGCTTCGGGTGTTCGGCTGCATGGTACACGCTGGGGCATCCACCTCGGAATCGAAAAGGAGTTCTATGCGTGGATCGTGCTGGACTATGCGACACACGAAGTGACGAAATCACGTGACTGCATCTTCTACAAAAAAACTGACTCTGCCACTGTTCAAGGAACACCGCAAAGCTGACAAGGCACCGGAAAGGGTTTTCGAGGGACACCGCAGCTTCGCCACGTCACTAGATGAGACTGATGTGGCAGAGGATGCAGATGCAACCAACGTCACACCCTTCGACTCCTTTCCCAACATCCCCCTTAGAAGCTCATTCCAGACTCCAACCTTCATACCTGATTCTCAATTCGATCCTGATGATACAACTCGTGAAGCCCACAACTACAACAGCATAGCGCGCCCATTTCCGGATGCCGAGTTACCACCGGCAAACCCCTCGCAAGACACCATCCGCAACGGCCACGACAGCGACGATGATGTCGTCGAAGTTATCAGCATGCACGATCTGGATCGCCTTGCCTACGAAACCACCAACGAAATCGGCATCCGCATCCTCGGGCTCGCAGTTGCAGTTCGCCAACTTTCTCCCAAGGAACCCACCACCGTACGCCACGCTCTGTCTGGCCCCGACAGTGAGAAGTGGAGGGCAGCCATGGCGGCTGAAGTAGCAGCACTGAAGCGCCGCGGAACCTGGAAGTTGGTTCCCCAATCATATGCAAAGGGGAGGAAAATATTAAGCGGAAAATGGGTCTTCAGAATTGAGACACTCGCGGACGGGTCAATCGACAAATACAAAGCAGATGGGTGGTGCGCGGCTTCGAGCAAACTCACATGGTGGATTACGACCAAACCTTCGCGCATGTGTGACGGCATACTACAGTGCGCATTCTCATCTGCATCGCATCCGTCAAGCAGCACCCGCTCCGGCAAATCGACATCTCCAACGCGTTCCTGTACGCAATCGTCGACGCCATCATTTTCGTCGAGCAGCCGCACGCCTTCGAAGAAAGCGACGGTGCCATCTGCCTTCTCCAAAAGTCCCTCTATGGAATCAAGCAAGCACCTCGCCTGTGGCAGCAGTATTTGCACGCTGTCCTCATCGAACTCGGTTTCACCCAGCTGCCACACGACCAAGGCATGTACCGGAAGGAGTCGCGCGGGAAGTTCATCCTCCTCGTCGCCTACGTCGACGAACTGCTCTACACCGGCGACGACACATAACTGTCGCGATATATATTTATATATGTTTATAACTGCCTGTAGCTTTAGCTTTAGTGTAGTTATACAAACCTGGTTGGTGGTGCACCTCTTGTTTGTTTGCTATATGTACCTTTGGTCCTATAGTGAACATAATCATTTCTCGTCAATCTGCCTTGGCACGCTCCTCTCGTCACCCGCTTGGCCTAGGCTTCTAAGCCTAGGCCCTTATTAAACCCAGTTACCAGCTCAGACCGTATCGTAACATGGTATTGAGGTAGGTCGTTCCCGACCTATTTTTTAAAGGGCCCACCGTTAGTTATCGTGATGGCGCGTCCCGTCCTTCCCCGTCGCTCGCCCGTAGCAAAATCCGTCACGGTAGTCGTGACAGACGCGACGGTCGCGGCGGGAATGACGGCGTTCGTCGACCCGCTGTTTCGCACCGCTGCACTTGCCCCCCGTCGGCCCCTCGAACCGCCGCTGCCTTCCCCGTCGCCCTTCCCCGTCACGCTGCCTCGTCGCGGCTCACTGTCGCGGAAACGTCGACGGTCGCAGTAGGGGGGGAGAGGAGAGGGGGAAAAGGGTGGCGACCGTCACTTGAGCACCAGCGCCAGCCCGCGTTCCATCCCGTCCCGTTCCGTCCCCGCCTGCCCTCCCGTCGACTTCGCAGCTGCTGTGAAGGGAGTGGCGGGCGTGGCGGGAGTGGCGGGAATGGCGGGCGTGGCGGGAGTGGCGAGAGAAGATGCTGCTCCGCCACTGCATGCTACTGATCGTCCACAACCCGCAAGCCCGTCAGTAAACGAACCAGCAGACCCGCAGACCCACTAGCAAGTGAACCAGCGGACCCGCGAGCCCGCGAGCAAGCCCGTCGTCAGCTCCCCACCCCGCCACCTATTCCCCACCCGTCCCTGCCCTGCGCGGTTGCAGCAACGGTCGCGGTGGGGGAGGGGGGAGGGAAGGGGGAAAGGGGTGGCGGCCCAATCGACGCTCCATCCAGCTTGCCAACTGACGCGCCAGCCAGCTTGCACCCCGCCCTGCACGACCCGTCCCTGCCCCGCCTGCATCTGCCACGTCAGCAACTGCAATTTCCTCCCATACCCGCGCTGTCCTTGCCCCTCCCCGTCCCTCCCTCGTCGCGCCTTCCCCCTCTACCGCGCCTGCCTATGCCGTGTTGCGCGGTGGTGGGTGTGGCGGACAGTGGGGGCGGCGGCGGCAGGAATGGCGGGAGCGGCGTGGAGGGGTTGGCGGCTCATGTGAGGGGGGGGAAGGAGTGGGGGAAAGGGGTGGTGGGCGGCTGTCAAGAGCGAGCACCAGGCACCAGCACCAGCACCAGCACCAGGAACCAGCACCAGGAACCAGCACCAGTGCCAGCCGCCAGCACCAGGAACCAGCACCAGCACCAGCGCCAGCACCAGGAACTAGCACCAGCGCCAGCCGCCAGCACCAGGAACCAGCACCAGCGCCAGCCGCCAGCACCAGGAACCAGCACCAGCGCCAGCCGCCAGCACCAGGAACCAGCACCAGCGCTAGCCGCCAGCACCAGGAACCAGCACCAGCGCCAGCCGCCAGCACCAGGAACCAGCACCAGCGCCAGCCGCCAGCACCAGGAACCAGCACCAGCACCAGTGCTAGCACCAGGAACCAGCACCAGCACCAGCCGCCAGCACCAGGAACCAGCACCAGCGCCAGCCGCCAGCACCAGGAACCAGCACCAGCGCCAGCCGCCAGCACCAGGAACCAGCACCAGCGCCAGCCGCCAGCACCAGAGGGGTTGAGTGGGCGGGTAAGGGGGTGGAAGAAGTAAGTCGGGCATTTGCAGCCGTTGCCTGTAGCAGGCACGCCCCCGGAGGTGCTGAGCGGTGCTGTCCAGCTGCTCGTTGCAGCCACGGCGCTTGCTCTCACGCCCACCTCTCGGGTCCTGCACCTGCCGTTGTTGCATTTATCATGGCTGATCTGTGTTGCTGTTTCCTCTGCTTCTCCTACCCCTTGCCCAGGTTTCGGGGGTGTGACTTGCTCTAGTTATGTGCTGCAGGCAGTTAAGGGGGTGTGTCGCGAAATAAATTTATATATATTTATAACTGCCTGTAGCTTTAGCTTTAGTGTAGTTATACAAACCTGGTTGGTGGTGCACCTCTTGTTTGTTTGCTATACGTACCTTTGGTCCTATAGTGAACATAATCATTTCTCGTCAATCTCCCTTGGCACGCTCCTCTCGTCACCCGCTTGGCCTAGGCTTCTAAGCCTAGGCCCTTAGTTAAACCCGGTGCCTAGTTAAGTTCGCTTCGTAACAATAACTACTCGATCGCTTCAAAGCAAAGATCAAAGAGAAGCTGGAGATCACAATCGACCACAATGTCACGCAATTCCTTAGCAGCTAGAAAGTTAGAACAGAGAAGAGGGTTTGCACTAGCAGGCAGTTGAGTACATATAGGAAACCCTAATTTGGGCTATACTCGCTATAGAGTACCCCACTGCAGGCTAGACAAATATCACATTCTGACACACCCCCATAGTCAAAGTGGGGTATAATCAGCACAGCAAGCAGTCATAGAGCAGGTTCACAAGTACAAGCAAAGCTAGAGGCATTCACAAAGGGCAAGTGAGGAGGAGGAGGTGGGACTGTGAGAGGAGAGGAGATAGGAGGCGACGATTGAAGCTGCAGACACACGGGCAACAGGAGCCGCACTGACGGAGTGGCTACCGGACGACGGACTACGAGGTCCGGCTGACGCGGACGAGGAACACGACGACCGGACCAACCTGAACGGACAGGCGAGACAGGACGCGACGCAGGCTCACGACGCTCAGTAAGACCCTCTGTCTGCTCTGTGTAAGGAGAAGGAGCAGGCAGCGGTGAGCCAGGCTGTAACGGAAGACCAGTAGACGAAGGGAGACTAAGAACCTGGCGAAGCACAGAGTCAGGCGGTGGCTGAGACGACGGAGACGGTGGAGCGAAGAACAGGCGCGGCTGTGCAGTGACACCTGCACCCGCTGCTCCAGTACCCCCAGCACCTCCAGCACCTCCAGCAGCTCCAGAACCCTCAGCGCCAGCTCCTCCAGGACCAGCTCCACCAACAGCAGCACCCCCAGAACCGGCACCTCCAGTCCCAGGGTCTCCAGCCTCCGTGTCTCCAGCAGCAGCACCCCCAGACCCAGTGTCTCCAGCAGTAGCACCCTCAGGCTCAGCACCTCCAACCCCAGCAGCTCCAGTACCTCCAGTACGAGCACCTCCGGGACCAGCACCACTCCCAGCTCCAGTGACGTCAGCAGAAGTACCTCCAGCGGTAGAGCCCCGAGCTCCAGAAGCGCGACCCTGGCGGCGACCGTACCAGTCGTGCAGCTGCTGTGAGGTGAGAGGCACACGCGAATGAAGGCGGCTACTCCAAGGAGACCGCGTAACAGCAGACTCAGAACCCTCAGCGCCAGCACCCGCAGCAGCTCCAGAACCTCTACTGCTAGCACCCTCAGCAGCTCCTGAACCTCCAGCTCCAGCGCCACCAGCGCCAGCACCTCCAGCAGCTCCAGAACCTCCAGCTCCATCACCCTCAGTAGCTCCAGAACCTCCAGCACCAGCGCCACCAGCGCCAGCACCTCCAGCTCCAGCGTCACCAGCGCCAGCACCTCCAGCTCCAGCGTCACCAGCGCCAGCACCTCCAGCAGCTCCAGAACCTCTAGCTCCAGCAGCCTCAACAGCTCCAGAAACTTCAGCAGAAACAACTCCAGTAGCAGAGTCACCAGCTCCAGCGCCTCCCGCAGCAGGGCCCCTAGCTCCAGCAGCGCGACCCTGATGGTCAACGTACCACTCAAGCAGCTGCTGTGGGGAGAGAGGGAGTCGACGACAAGAGTGCAGCGGCGAGGCACCAGCGGAGCGACTACGTTGACGGCCGCTCCAGGGAGACTGCTCACCAGACGCCTCAGCGCCCCCAGGTGCAGCACCCCCAGACTCAGTACCCCCAGGCTCAGCACCCCCAGACTCCTCACGCCCAGGCTCACCACCTCCAGTCTCCGCAAACCCCAGGCTCCGCACCCCCAGGCTCCGCACCTCCAGGCTCCGCACCCCCAGGCTCAGCACCCCAAGTCTCCGCACCCCCAGGCTCAACACCCCCAGCAGCAGCACCCCGAGCAGGACCACCCTCAGCAGGACCTGAGTCACCAGTGACCTCAACCGGCTCAGTCAAGGGAGGAGGGTCTACCTGAGACACACCTGAAGGAGCAGGACCGGGAGCGGGGAGGGGGTCTACCTGGGGAGCACCTGGAGCGAGGAAGAGCGGCGGGGGGGGGAGAGGGGCAGTGCGGTAGGGGAAGAGACGGTAAAAGGGAACCGACTCGTCGAACGTGACGTCCTGAGAGGGGAAGACACGGCGCGAGGTGGGGTGGTAAAACTGCCAACCAGCCACATCAGGGACAAAGCCAAGGAAGACACAGGGAACAGCGCGGCCGGAGAGCTTGTCCGCGGTGGTATCGCGGACAAAGGCACGAGCACCCCAGACCCGGAAACGCGACGCATCGCCAACCTTCCCCGTCCACAGCAGTGTGGGCGAGGTCTCCGGCAAGGAGACACGGGGCCAGAGGTTGAGCTAAAGCGCGGCGTACCGGACCGCAAACGGCCACAGAAAATGGGGGGCAGCCGCATGGATCATGGAGGTACGAGCGACCTCCATGACTAAGCCAATGCGGCGCTCAGCAACCCCATTCTGCTGCGGAGAGGCCGGAAGTGTGAACGTCTGGCGGATGCCGTGCTCCGCACAGAAGGCTGCCAAGAGGTCTGAGGAGAACTCACCACCCCTGTCAGAGTGCAGACGCAGGACAGGGAAGTCCGACTGGAACCGCTCGCGGAGCTGGAGACGAACAGCGCGGATCCAGGGGATCAAAACATCAGGGACCTCCCCCTTGTTGCGCAAGGGGAAGACCGTGGTGTAACGCGTGTAGTCGTCGATGACCAGCAGGAAGTACCGCTCGTGGCCCTGTCCACGGACGCGGGCTGGGCCCCACACGTCCAAGTGGAGAGTCTGCAGGGGAGCCTCTGTGGGAGGGAACGAGGAGGAGTGAGGAGCGGCGCGCTGCCGCCCCTCGACACAGGGAAGACAGGGAGGAGCAGGCGAGGGTGGTAGAGGAGGCAGAGTCTCTGGAAGTTCAGAGACAAGGAAATGGCGGTGCATGCTACGAAGGCGCTGCACCAAGGGGTGACCAAGGCGGTGGTGCCAAAGGAGGGTCCGGTGCGACAAAGCGCGACACGAGCAGGGGGGCGCTAGCTTACCTGATGCAAACGCAGACACAGACGCAGCTACCTGAGGGGACACAGTGGTCAGTGTGTACAGACTCGAGCCAGGCGCTCGGGTGAACGTGGCCAGGTGCCGACCAGTCCGGGAGCACGTACAGTGGGTCACACGCTGACCTCCAGGGGTGAACTGGTCAACCCACACATCCTGTAGGTCAGCTCCACTCACCAAGTTCGAAGAGAACAAGGGGAGGTGAAGACCTGACAGGGAGCCAGACGGGATCGCCGGACACGACAGGACCGTGGAGGAGTGCGCAAGGACTGGACCCCCAGAGGGGTCTGCCAGGGAGACTGCAACCGGCCGACGGAGCGGCGTGAGGGTGGTGCTGTCGCGAAAGAAGGAGCGGGAAGCACCTGAGTCAAGTGTGAAGGTGCACAAGGCCTCAGCAGGCGCAGTACCAGAGAGAGCAGACTCACCAGCACCTGGAGCAGCAGCCTCACCAGTACCTAGAGCAGGAGACGCACTAGCACCTAGAGCAGCAGCCTCACCAGCACCTGGAGCAGCAGGCTCTATACCTGGGTCAGGCGGTACGCACAGGGAACAAGCACGGTCAGCACTAGTAGGCAATGCATACATGGGAGTGAGAATAGCATCATAGTGAAGAGCAAAGATATCTACCCTTTGTCCAAGCAGCTCCAGCCAGGTGGGGAGCTCACCCTCGTCGCCAAACTCGGTACGCCAGGCGTTGCTCAGACGGGCGAAGCAGCGGGACTGTGTGTGACCAAGCGTCCCGCAAGCCTGACCGGCCCGATCACCTGTGCGAATGAGGTACGGGCAGCGAACGGTACTCAAAGACCCTCTACTCTGAGCGTACCACTCGTGAAGCTGCTGGGACGTAAGTGTCTCGCGTGGACGCCACTGCAGCTGCCGCTGGCCACTGCCAGACGCTCCCAACTGACCAGCTCCAGGGCGACAGCTACGATGGCGACCGCCACAACCCCAACTCGCGTACCACTCACGAAGCTGCTGAGGCGTGAGAGAATCGCGTGAACGTCGCTGGAGCTGCATCTGGCCACCGCCAGTAGCAGCAGTAGCAGTAGTAGCAGCAGCAGCAGCAGCAGCAGCCTAGCAGTAGTAGTAGCACGGGCAAGGCAGGCGCGGCAGACAGACAGGCAGGCAGGCGTGGCAGGCAGGCAGGCAGGCAGGCAGGTAGGCAGGTGCTCACCAGTGGCAGGAAGGGCAGGCGCACGACGGCGGTGACGGCGGGGCCGCGACAGCTGCGGCAGAGCAGGACCGCGTCAGAGGTAGGGCAGGTCCACGACAGCTGCTGCAGGGCGGGGACGTGACGGCGGCAGAAGGCTCCGCGGCAGCTGCTGCAGGGCAGGGCCGCGACGGCGGCAGGAGGCTCCGCGGCAGCTGCTGCAGGGCGGGGCCGCGACCGCGGCAGAAGGCTCCGCGGCAGCCGCAGCAGCTGCTGCAGGGCAGGGCCGCGACGGCGGCAGAAGGCTCCGCGGCAGCTGCTGCAGGGCGGGGCCGCGACTATGGCAGGGCGCTCCGCGGCAACTGCTGCAGGAGCGACGGCAGCGTCCAGGGG